AAGTTGTGAGCAGGGCCTCACGCTGCGCAACTCATTTCCGCAAGAGCATCAAATTTGCCGCCTCTCTGAGAAATCAGCCCTTCAACTGCATGAAAATAACCCCATGTGATTAATAATGAAAATATCAAAAATAAGACCATATGTAGAACATGTGTTTTTAATAAATTGTGGCGCGGCTGATGAAGACATCACTTTTTACTGCCTTGGTGAATTGTACCCTTGTTCATTGGATCTCAGAGGTGATTTGCTCAGGCCCCATTCCTCTGGTCATTTTGGGTCTGTTTGTCATCCATTAACTTAGCATTTTTATCATCGGTTACGGAAATTCACGGCTTATTTCCAATGTGTTTAATAACCCATTGAAAATGCAAATTGGACGAGACTACATCTGAGCAGTCACTTAAACTGTGAGGTATTAATTCGAGTTCGTTTCAGGAGGAGGTGACGACGATGCTGCCACAGGGTGCCGGTTAAATGATGCGCTGAACCTTGCGAAGCGATAGTTCGTTCGAGTGATGCCACGGTACCAGTCGATCGTGCTGCTGTGCACGTCGCTGTTTTCTTGGATCGTCTTGTCGCTGACCCAGAAGCATACGATGGTGGTGCACACGTCACACGGACCGATTAGTGGCACCCAAGAAATCGCACTCGGAAAACATATAGTTTCGTTCCTCAACGTCCAGTACGGCAAGGCGCCTGTCGGGCAACTGAGGTTCAGTCCTCCTCAAGAGCCAGATTCTTGGAAAGAAACGCGAAACTGCACTGAGCTGGCCCTTGCATGCTATCAGCTGAAGGATAAAACAATTCCAGGTAAGCACAAAATCGATTTGTTCATTTTTCACAGGCGACGCAGAATGTAGTGGCAACGTGGCTGAAAGCATGTTAGAAAGAAAGGTTTGTCTTGTCGGTAATTATCATAAGCTGTTAGTATGTAAAATATGAAGAAATTAGTCAAATGACGAATGACTCCTCAAAGAGTGGATTTCGCGGCATATTGCACCGCACCCTTGCTCCTAGTTACCTTGAGGCGGGAGATACGTGTAAGCAGGTTGCGATTCAATGGCATTTGAGCGTTGGCAGTGCCAGATTCATCTCGCATGATTTTGTCTGTTACAGCCACCTCCAACATTTCAAGAACTAGCACTTTTATGTTACCGCATTAGCATGATAAAGTTACGATGCGGACTTATCAACTATCAACGCAACTAGCGTTACTATCGGCCTATAGAGACTTTGGTACTATTTGGAAATATGCCGAAGATTTTAAATTACATGCATTTCAGGAATCAGATGAATCACATGCTAATCAACGTACATCTGTTCTGCCTCATGAATTTCTGAAGTTGATAGCTTTCAGTCTTTAGGGTCGCACAGAACTCTCGACAGAGAGGGCATAATTGAACAGTGGCTTTATTCGGTTCCAGCCGAAAAGGTCCCGTG